ATGAAGAAGACCCACCTAATTCGGCGTTCTGCTCTAAAGACAAAGACGGAAACCCAGAGATACTGGGAAGCCAGAAGTCAAACAATGAACTACTGTTAACTAACCTAAAGCCTATATATACGTTCCTCTCCCTCCCCATTGTGAAGGCCGAAGTCAACTAAGGGGTTAATGATAAATGTCATAAAGCCTGTCATTAGATTTATTTATTTCAAATGACAGGCATTTTAATAGTTATCATTAGCCCTTTTGTTGACTTCGGGCTTCACAGAAGGGAGGAACATTAAAGTGAGAAAAATTCAAAAGTTGGAAAGAAGAGCAATTCACAGATGTAAAAGAGACAGACGGACACAAAAGCGGAGAAAAGGCTAGATAAGTACTGTGGAAGGGGTCGAATATGACATTCAGTGGGGTCATGGTAGTTTGAAGTTAGAAGTCAACTGCCAGTTAATAGACTTTTTTGCCGTATGAGTATTCGTTGCCCAGGGAGCACCACGTGGAGGCAAGTCTATCGCACATCCCCTGCCATTAGATATAATAATAATGTATGATAGTAGTTGGGCGACTTGTAAGGATGGTGGTAGAGAGTGGTATCTCTTTCAGTCGTCTGCGAAAGTAAATCAGTTCTTAATACACTGAGAGGGTGTTGTGTTATTAAGACTTACTACTTCCAAATGAAACATCCAAGGCATCAATCTGGTAACTGTACAGATTGGGATGACCAAATAATCCTCTCGGAAGCGCTTTGCAAACTCTACTGTGTTCGCATTTTAATGTCGGAAGAAATCAAATACTTCTATTTTGCAGATCCGCAAATGTGGCTGTCCTTCGATTTGGCTTTACCACGAAATATTGCCCATTGATCAGTCAATCAGCTTATCTAATTAAGTTATTGGGCCCTATAGTTAAGTACTGATAAGTTACAAAAGAACATTCATTATTTTGTTGTATCCAAACAGCTTCGCTATCATAAGTAACACCTGATTTTCCGCCCTGATCAATAGCTATGCTTTTCTGGTTATTTCATAATTTGACCTCCACAAAGAAAAACTGCCATTTTCTAGATAATAAAAAGTACGCTTTCGGTTGTAGGTGATGTGGTGATTAATGTTCCTATTTATGAACTCGCAAGATTGAATTGATCAAAGTGCCTCCATTGACAAGCCGAACTTGTTAATGCGCTGGCTTCTAAATCATACTTATCCCCGACACGAGGTAGCGGAAGGTAGATAAAAATCTATCTATTGCCCATGGCTTTCAAAATTCCTTCGGTGAAAAATGGATAAGGATGTAATTTTGGCATTGTTCCTTTCTGTTATACTAACTAATCGAAAAATAAAATAGTAGAAAGTAAAAAGGAGCCGAATTCAACTACTACAAAAAATAAACAAGCAATCGATAATGTCCCTAGCCCACTGGTTGCAATTTCAGGGATAATAGACATAAAGGAAAGGTGCTTAACATTCTTGCGTCTTATTTCTCTAGATGAAATCTCCAGAGGTTCAATCTTCTCCGAATATAATTTGCACCTACGTAACTGCCTTCAAGTACCTCCTCTCAACCGCGGCCTCAATTAACTACCCGGACGATCCAGAGGAGAACAGAGCAACTGTCTCCGACATCCCAATTTCCCTCAACTCCTCCAACGCTTCCCTTTCCCTCCTCACTCTCAAAGAACGCTACGCTTTTGCCAACCTACTACTCAAAGAACGTTGTTTCCTAGACATTATGAACCTCTTCAACCACGCTGACCCCGATGTTTGCAGGGCAGCTCTCCTGACCCTCAATACAGCCGAGTACTACTGGCCACCAATTATTCGCAGTCTGCTGAAGGAGAAGCAGCAGGAGCAGAATAGTGGCGATTCAGGAACCCTCCTCGATGCTCTCTATACGGCTACTAAAGTACGCCCGGAACTTATCAGAACTGTGCAGATTGGACCCTTTAAGGTGGATTTTGATGATGGAAAGGATCTGAGAAAGGTGAGTGTTTAACAGTTATGTCATATCCTCTTCATTCAATTTAGCTCTTATTTGATTCATGAGTATATTAGTATTATACAGATGGAATGAAACGGCAATGGTAGACTGTAACGTAATATTACGGTGACCACTGGCATCGCTAGTCAGAATAATGCTGCCCAAATAGTTGGAAGACAGGGGACCTGCAACTTAATTGACGGATTTCTACTGTGGACACATAACTTCCTAAATAGAGTGAATAACCTTGAGTAAAACCTCTATTTTTGAAAGGTAATGGAGCTCATGAAATCAGGCTCTGCCGGTGATTCATCGAATATAATTCATTTATTTCTTTTATTCGATTTCCTAACGAGTAATTTGTTGTGTTCAAATTATCGACTGTTGCATGATCTATAGCCTAATCGCATCTTTTTATTCATGTTCAGCCCTACTTTAGTACTTAACCTTGGAAGTGAATTTCTCAATTCCTATTTTACCTTTTTCCTAGGGTGTTTGACAGAATGACTTGGAGGGGGGGGGGGGGGGAAGGGGAGGGGTGGTTGAACTTTCTTTTTTCCAGAATAGCTTTGCGTTTTCTCTTTCGTCATGCACAATAAAATCGAAGCAAATAGCGAAGCTCTTTCCACTGCATTCTGTTCATACCGTGTATAGCATATGGGAAAGCGCTTCTTCTCTCCTGAATCCTGTCTTGGTTTGTTGTAGGGGGGGGGGGGGGGGGGTTGCAGTTGACACGCAAGGTTAGGCCAATTATTGTCAAATTTCCTGCGTGTCTCAAAGAGGGAGGTTTACCATATGGCCAGATCCTGGAGACATTTTTCGTCCTATTGCAACCAAATTTCAAATTGGCGTTTCAGCATTTATTTATAGTGCTTATTATTCGCTTATTGGCATGCATGTGTTTATTAATACGTTTTCTACTTGCGGTTGTGATATTGAAACTATTCGTTTAATAATGGAGTATTGGCTACTCCTTCATTTTTTCTGTCAAAAGACACATCCCGAGAGTGCAAAGCTTCTGTTTTGAGTGAGTGTCACTATTCACGGTCCACAGCATTAAATAGCTAACCAAAGCCTAATCTCTCCATCCAAGGGCTCTAGGATCAAGGAGTTAATTTTGTCCATCTGGGAGAGAGTGGCGTGTTGAAGGGGATTTTGTAGGCATATTCACTATTCTTTCAGTAGGATGGTGCGAATGTGTCTGTCTAAATAGAAGTTAGTTAACTGGAGCACCATAGAACGCGCTTACTTTCAAAGGAGTTCGAGTTTTGTGAGAGAGTTATTCGGTCTTCCTCTAAACTTGCTTACTTCCAAGCATTCTTAAATCTTATTTCAAATCAGTTATTTTGGCACTATCGTGCTCATGTGCACATTGCATATCTGGGAATTTTGTCAAAATTTTCTTCTTTGCTGTCATATTTTATTGCCGGAGTAAATGGCGTTAATGCGATGTGTGTGTGTGTGTACACTTTCGACATTTTAATGGCACAGGAGATTGGGTACTTTTTTAAACAGGGCGTTGTGCAGTATTTCGTTGATGTTGTATTTGAAATATATTCTGCTTTTGCGCTTGCCATGTCATGTCATGTGTTTGAATCAAAATGCCATGCACACAATTGTGTGTGTGGGGGATGCAGTAGTTGGAAGAAATGTCGGACGCTTTAAATTAATGTGCAACTGTAATGCGTCAGCCGCCACCGATTTGAGACCCAGCTTCATATATATATATTTATATATTTTATTTGAAATACTTGACCACTCTAGTTAGCCCACTCGCCAACATAGAATATGGAGTTACTCTCTGCGATGTGATCGGCTGTCAGTGTGTGCATTTGTCAAGTCAGGGTCCACAAGGTCAAGACCCATTGGTTCCTCCCCCCCCCCCCCCCCCCCCAATACACTAATGTGGATAACCGATCGTACTAGTTAATTCTGGTCAAAAGGACGAGTGCTCGAAAGCGAGTTTCTTGAAGGAGGTATCTCCGGGATACTTCCACCTCCTATTAAAGCTCTGTGTGTTGTGAACGCTTTTCACATAGGTGTGACAACTTTTTTTAGTGTTTGAAAATATCGATTTATATTCAGTGAGGGGAGGAACAGGAGAATGATTCACGTGTGTAAAAAGGACAGATAGACATAAAGTTAGAGAAAAGTTAAGGTGAGTACCTCAGAAGTGGTCGAATTTGGCATACAGTCGGGTCATGGTAATTTTAAGTCAGAAGTCAACTGCCGGTTTATGGACCTTTTTCCGTATGAGTATACGTTGATCAGTTAGCACCACGTGGAGGTAAGTCTATCGCGAACCCTATGTGTGCTTTAAAGGATCGATTTAATTGTTTTATCCCTTGCAACAGGTGAATATTCTAACGTGAGCTTCATAGACTGCGAGTTCAAACATCTTTCTTTTAAGTGAACTAAGCTTTAAATGCCTCAATACGCACACACTAATGGCATCCAAGGTATTGCTTTGGGTAGAGGGGGGGGGGAGAGGCGTGTGGAGCTGTCAATATTGCAGTAAATACAAGGCAATGAAGGTGAAAGCTGAAGGTTTTCAACATATGATTCAATTCGGTTCGTGGAAATAATCTTAGACTTATCTATTGTTTCAATTAAAGGGAGCGAGGGAGAATATACCTATAAAACAGATGGTAACTTTGTCAAGAAAAAATGTTTAGTGATTTCTATAAGTATATTTTATTATATATATATATGTGTATGTTTTCTCCTTGATAGATGACCTCGGACTACCCTAATTGGGCAAACTGCGTGCCAGCTATTTAATTATCTGGCTTGCCCACGTATTGTAGGCAGAAATATATTGTGTGTTGAAAAAAAGGGGTTAGGGTTAGGCGTTTTCTTTGCGTCTCCTTTCTCTCCTTCTTTGCTGCGTCTTATGCATGAATAAACCATTAAGGTAAGATGGGCATACACCTCCTTCCACTCCCTCCCCCCAAGTGCAATAGAGTATTTTTAATTACAAGATGTTTTATGGTCACTTTACCAGCTCCTCTCCACAGGTGTGCGTTGATTTATTTACGAATGGGGATTTTGCTCTGTAGTTGGTTGATTACATGAACACAATGTGATGCGATGCCTGTGTGTGTGTGCGCTGCTGTCCTGGTTTTGGACTAACTCGTTCGCTTTTACGTATCTCGCGACAAGCATTAGTTAATGGTTAACGCTTCCTGCTGCCAACCCCCCAGTGTCTGCGGAGTATTAGGGAGTTCACTCCAAGTCTGCGAGGGGGGGGGGGCTCACGGTTCTTCCTATAGCTACTCGATTGTCGTTCCCAATTTAGAGAGGAACAGTAAAATAGTCCCTTTAATTACCAATGAATAGACAAAGGTCATATGTGGTTATTTGTAATGATAGATTTCTTAATTGTTTTATGCCAAAATGAAAATATTGCCTCTAGTACCCTGTGTTTATTGCTTTGAATTTAGACTTGTCGGTTAGCGAGGAGAATATTACACGAGACTCGATGCCACTCGGAATTCGTTGTAGAGCCCATGCGTTATTCTGAAACCTGTCAATAATTGGGCACATGCAAGGTGTTCGTGTGTGTTCGAAGGTGACACACAAGGACTTATGCCTGTTTCATAGTTTTGGTTTTTCCCCATTTAATTTACAATCTTTTGAGCGTTCTGGACTCGCATACATGAACGGATTTTAAAATAGAACACGCTGCTGATTTCATAATGACACTTTAGACTCTCAATAAAAATCGATTTTGCAGATTCCAAGAAGGGCATATTGGATTTTCAGACGTACATAGTGACAACGATTAATTTCTGAATGGGTGTGACCTTATTTACTGAAGTTATGTGGATCGGGTTCACGTAGAAGGAATACATCGTATCACTCAAGTAGCCCAATCTGCGCGAAGGTGTGTTTGAAGCTGCCTCAAATTATTTGCAGATAAATAAGGTTTATATGCAAAAATTGTCTTGGTTAGGCGTCATAACACCTGTTTTGGTATCTATGGTTAAATGTGCCCACACACACACACACACATACAGCTGGGTCTCCCGTAGTGACTGAAGTCGAAATTTTATCGCCAGGTGTTGATGGACATCTGCAGCCTCCTGTACTTTCTTTGGGTTGAAGGTTCAATATCTCCCTAAGGGATGGGGGTGAGGGTTTACATAGCTTAATTGAAAGGTATTATGTTAAAATTCTGTTCTTATCTTTTGGGATAATTTGAAACATTGACTTTTCCAATATTTGAGTTTCCATGTCTTTTTTTCTATAATCGCATTTATTCTGTCGTTTCTGGTGTTTTGGTGGATTGTGCTTCCTTTGTGAACCTAGTCGAGATAGAAGAAGCATGGAAAGGTGAATATAACATTATGAATTCAGTCCCCCATTTTAATATTGGGTTGCTCTAATCGCTTTGTAAGCAAATGAGTAGCGCTTTCCAATACTTGGTTTGGCGTCTTTACGACTGTTTTTCAGGTAAATATTATCAGTAGATGAGATGTCATCTTTACAGATGGTGGTGAAAACTGGCATCGAACAGTACTAAACAGTACTATAAAAATTTTGAATGCTAGGTGATGGCGTACCTCGGATTTCTTTTCACTTAAACGCTTCCTCCATTCCTTTGCAAGCTCAAATAATGTGAAACTTATAATTTCGGGAGATTTGTCAAGGACTCAATTCAGTGTGGCCGAGAGGTAATCGGTAGCTGTGGTTGTTAATTGTCGGCGAAGGGAGTATTGACGACAGAATGAGTTTCTGATCAAGCATTCTTCTGGGTTTTCAAGGTTGTCAAAGGCCATAGCAACAGGCTTCTGACTTGGTTTCTTTTAGCCTCGCCTTTAAATAGTTTTAACAAACGGTTAATTAACATAATAGTTTTATGTTGGACGTACACCGTGTTCTATATTTGAGGCAGAGGGTATAAAAGGTTGCCTGGAATATAATGGGCCAGACTTCAAGAAAGGTCTCCTTAATTGTTTTTCAAATTGCTATCATTATTTTTGCAATGGTTATTGGGTACCTAAATCGATTTCACATTTTAGTGCCGACGAAGGTTTATTTATTTATTTATCTCAAATGGCAGGCGTTTTGATTGTTATCATTAGCCCTTTAGTTGACTTCAGGCTTCACAGAGGAGAAGGAACATCAAAGTGACAAAATGTCGAGAGGGGGAGGACAGAATAGTGATTTAAAGATGTAAAGGAGACAGACAGACACAAAGACTGAGAACAGGTGAGATGAGTACTGTGGAAGGAGTCGAATACGACAAACAG